ACTCCCATGTGTATTGTCAAGAGAAATGTCAACACACATCTGCACAGAAACTTGTATATGAATGTTCACAGCAGCATGATTCATAATAGCCAAAAGGCAGGAACTACCCTAATGTCCATTGATGTACACATAGTAAACATAATGTGGTCCTTTCACATGGTGGAATAGTATTACAGTAGAAAACATTATGTAAGTGGAAGAGACTGGCCACAAAAGGCCACATATTACATGATCCCATTTGTATGAAATGTCCAGAACAGGCAAATCCAGAGAGTGAAAGTACATGAGAGTTTGCCTAGGGGTGGAAAGGAGGGGGACATATGGGGGTTTCTTTTCAAGTGCAAGGTTTCTTTGGAGGGTGGTGAAAATATTTTAAAATTGATGGTAGTTGAATTATACTTAAAAAAAAGTTTAGTTTTTAAATAAATGTTTCCAATTTATCTAGATTCAACCCAGCTTTGATTTTTGTGGGATGTGGTGCTTCTCCCTGTTATGCCTTAGGAGACCTCTCTGAAAAATGGGGTAACAGAACCCCTCAGGCAGCTGCAGGGATCACAAGGGAACCCAGGCCCAGCATGCAGGAGCCAACACTGCATCACAGTGTTGGGGGAAAATAACTTGGGGGTGGTGTAGGGGGACAGCCTAGCAATAACTTTTGGTAGCTTGGTAATGACTATTTGTACTCCTAGTGTGAGCAGCCATGGGGTGAGACACATGCTGACCCACTGACTATTTCCTGCACTCCCTGTCCATCAGCTACAAGGTCTGGACATTGCAGGAGAAAACGGTGGGCTGAAGCTCATGCCAACCCCTGGGAAACGCTGACAGGACCATGAGGCTGGAACACAGTGGGGAATGGGGAGACGTAGCAGATGGGCCAGAGCAGGGGCTGGTCAGAGGGATCTGGGCTGAGCTGGAGAGTTCTGATCTCAACTCAGAAGGTATAAGTGGAATTGACACGCTCAGAGGTAGCCACCGCAGTAATCCAGGAGGTGGCTGGGGGAGTGACCATGGACAGCCAGTGGAGGCCAAGGGAAGCAGATCCCGAGACGTGCAAAGAAAGTGTATTGGCCTTGAGAGCCTCTGGGACACAGGGACAGAGAAGCAGAAATTGGCTGGTCCAAGGTCTCTGCTAGGATGACAGGGCCTTGTCCACAGAGCACCAAATACAATCTATGAGGAGGAATGGCCCTAGGAAGAGAGGGGTTCTGGCTTGGATAAAGTGGCAGGAGGCATGGGGCTTGGGCTTTAAATGTGTTCTGAATCCTGGAAGTGGTTACATCTTCTAGGGGACATTTGAGGAGAAGCAGAAAGCTGGAATTACCTGGACTCATGCAAGGGGGAAGGGAACACTGAGGCAGCTCGGCCTGGTTGAGGAAGGAGGTGGTCATGGGGGCTTTAGCAGATATGCCCATGGTGGCGAGGATAGTGGGGACCAGAGTGAGGGGGCCGAAGAGTAGGAAGAGTATAAAAGTTGAACGGAGATGGGCAGCAGCCAGATATGTGCCTGGAGACCAAAGTTTACCAGAGCTAGGTCACAACATGTGTCGTACACCGAAATTCCCACCCAACTGAGAGATGGTCTCATTTTATCTGTTAGTCTGCTGCCTATGGAATTCGGCTTGGGTTGGGAGGAGCTGCTTGCTGCACACACATCATATGTTAAAAACAAGTGAAATAAGCGACATGGCCCTGGAATGTTTAAATGTCAACTCGAGATACACGATTCACTACAGGAAAGGTCTGTTTGGATTGATGGCCCTCTCGTGAGAGCCTCTGACCCCCATACTTGAGGATACAGCCTCTGTGGCAGAGGTTGGGTGGGAGGATCCATTTCTTTTTGACTCACCACTTTTGATGAAGGCTCAAGACACAGGGTATGAGGTCTTCACAGGAGAACCCAGTAAGGTCCCATAGTCGAGTGGTCCAGGGCTGTGCTGGGGAGGAAAGAAAGAATGGTGGGGCCATTCTGACTCCCACTCACACCCACAGCCCAGATGGTTCTGTTGTGGCATTTCTCCAAGCTGAGTTGCACAGACCCCACATACAATGCATGCCTGCTCACTGTCAACAGTGTGGGCAATACTTAAATTAGAACCATCCCTAACCTCACCCCCAGAGAACAGCTTTTAGTCCATTCTGGTGTTTTCTTCTCCAGAAGAGGTGGGCCTGCTTCTTTTTCTCCCCTTTCCTCCTCTGTATCAGAACATCATCTCCTGACTCTAGAAACCCCCCAGGCCCCAGGCTTCTTACTCTGCCCGTGCATCAGTCTTGCCAGGAGCAAGGCAGCTGCAGCCTGGTGGGCTGGGGAATAGGCAGCCAGGCTGGTGTGCAGCAGGGAGAGCTCGCAGAGGAAGCTGCACAGATGCTGGGTTCTTGGTGCCACAGGAACCAGCGTCAGCAGGATGTCCTTGTAATCGACCACGGTGGGGACCTAGACAGAACCGGGAGGTGAAAGTGGACTCTCAGCACAAGGAGGCTGGCCCAGTTTGGGGTCTGGCCCAACCAATGTTCAGGCTGGACACCAAGGCATGTGGTGACAACATGCCTTCTGGGTCCAGAAAGACTTCCCAGGGCAGGAAAGCTCAACACTATGTGGATGCCCTTGGCTCCTGCTGCCCCCTCACGTGACCGCCATTTTGACTTACAAGGAAAAAGCAAATGGCCACTTACTCGAATCTTCCCTTCCAGGGCGGAGATGATCTCTCCCATCATCCTCACCAGGTCCTCGTACTTGTACGTGTTGTCTGTGAGCCACACAGCCTCCCGGATTGTCAGGATTTCCTTGCTGATGAACCTGGAATGTGGAGAAAGGGTCTGAGCATTGAGTCCATTTCCCTTGGCAGGGCGATGGCTTTAGGATTCAGTGACAGAGGGAGATAAAAAGAGTAGACCTGGCTGTCTGTGGCCACTGAGGGGAACTGAAAAGTTCGCACAATCCTGTCCTAAGGGGCTGGAAAGGAAAAGGGATTAGTGCTATGGACCAGTGGGAGTAGCTGGACCACCAGGTGCATAGATGTTTCTACAAAAGGTACTCATGAATGATGTGATCAGTAGTCTTCTTAGTGACTGAGGGAAGGGTTGCCCTGCCTTGTGCCAGATTCTACAGAGTGACTAAACTCGGGAGGCAGGTAAGCCAACAGATCTGAGCTGAAGGTTGTTCAAAGGTCTATACACAGCATGAAGTCTGGCCACAAGAATCTTGATCGTCCCTTAGGCAGGTAGTCACCCTGTTCTCTACTCTCCATCAGTGTCAACTATCAGAGAACACACTGGTCCAGTGGTCTGCCAAGGGTGAGGGTGGACCAGGGCCAACCCTAGGGCTGGCTCAGTACTAAAAATTCTGCAGCTGCTGAATGTGCTATCAGCTTGAATGAGAGGGACTGGGATGCACGGTGACCAAAGGTGCCAAAAGGATGAGATGCAAGTGGGCAAGAGCCCTGCGCTTGGAGCAGCCACAGGTACTGCTTTGAGAGCAGAGGCAGGGCATCTCAGCCTCTAAAATTTTTAAGCAATTATCATCTCACTGCTAGTAAGTCTGTGGTCCAATAACTGGGTCTCTGACAGCAGGGATGTAATTATGCCATCTAGGTCCAGGAGGCAGAGACCCTGTCTGTTCAGCCATCTCTGTCCAGGAGACCTGGAAAGCTAAGAGGGGCCCAGACAAGTGTGTAGCAATCTGCACCCATGCTCCCACTACCTATGGTCGTATTACCCTACTTCCACGACTATCCAGAGACCACACTTTCCAGTTCCACTGAGGCCATGTGACTGAACTTGCTGCAAACGTGGACACGGTGACCTTAGGGGTCATGGGGGGTGGCAGAGAGTAAGACAACACCTGGGGCTCCTCTGTGATCTCCTGCAACAGAAAATCCATCCCAATGACATGACCCTCTGCCTCTGGATTACCGTGTAAAAGAAATCAATCTGTAGTTTACACCACTGTGTGCAGTAAGCCTGTTCCTTACTCCCCAAGCCTTACAGACAAGGACAGTCGGTCTGGAAAGCACAGCCCAGAGGAAATGGTAGACTATGAGGGCAATATCTGATTTAGGAAAACTAGAAAATGCAAAATGTATGGCGGGAATCACTGTCTACATTATTTTCAAAGGCAAAACTAGAACAGACAGGTATTTGTTAAGGGATGGCAGATTCAGGTAAAATTGAAGATGGTACAGCCTGAAACACCAGAGCTGCCAAGGGTGCAGGCTGCCATGCAAGGAGCAGGTGCCCGGTCCGTGTGGTTAGAGCGGGGTCTGTGGGGAGTTGGGTGGGGCGTTTGAGACCTACTAACTGCTGGTTTCTAATGACACATACTTGAGAAACACATAAAAGCAGTGTTTCTGTGGTATTGGTGGAGGACTGTGGAGAACAGCCAACTATTTTGGGTCCTGAGATCATGTGCTGGGACGAGTGGCCACGCAGGGTAAACCTGTGTGGGGAAGACTGCCCGACTTAGACACTCTGTAAATAAAACCCCCCATCTAATGAGGTGGGACACTGAAGCCTTATTTCCCTGAAAAGCCAGCCCATGAAGTTGGGCAAGGCTAGTAAGCAGCACTGTCCTGTGGTCTTGGCTGCAGAGGGGCTTCTCACCGGGTGCAGATGACCATGCAGGCGATGCCTAGCAGCTGGAGCCTGTACCGGGGCACTAGCCTCCTCCGTAGGTACCGGTCCACACATTCCACAGTCAGGTGAAGGCACAGACTCGTGAAGTCCTTCATGGTGGCGACTTCTACCAGCCAGTCTATTAGAATGTACCTGTGGGAAGAGCACCACCCCTGAACACTAGAGCGAGTATTCACAAACGTCCTGTCTCCCATTTCCAATGGCCTTTCTGTCCCAAGAGAGTGAGCTGGTCATCTGTACCATCAGTTTACCCAGGAACCATCTGAGGCTGAGATGCAATGTTCAAGGGAGCTGGGGAGGGCCCATGTCTCTCAACTTTGTTTCTGAGAAGCAGGTGGGTTCACATATTGGTGTCCCTGCTTCCCCTACAGATCCCACCAGGCACTGGATAAGCATGGATACTCACAGGTAAGGGTCAAGATGGGTCTGCTCTAAAAAGCTGGGGACAGATCACAGATCCCGGGATGAGAGGAAAAGTCACTCAAAGGTGCAAGACCTTTGGTCTTTCTGCAAACCTGTACACTTTCTGAGGAACAGCTCACCTGTGGGGTCCTTTACCAAAACTCTCTGCATAAGAGCAAAGAGCCAAGAACACAGCCAAAGCAGGATGTATTGAGCCTGTGAGCTGGAGTTCTCAGTCACCCAGCAACCCTGACGGAGGACACAGCCTGACAGAGCCCACAGACATGGATGGGGTCCCTCCTTGAGAGGGCTAAAACCTAGGGCCAGGGATACAGACATCACAAGGGAATATTGTGTGCAATGGCCAGGATACTCGAGTACAGTAAATGACAAAGGAGAGAAGACAGAAGCGAGAGAGAGAAAAACTGTGATTCTGCAAGAATCTGCACAGATAGGAGGGATGGCTTCCTCATGTCAGCCTAGAGAGAAGCAGCTCTTATAGGCGGATGGAAAGAGAGAAGCAGTGGTGGTGGAAAGGAAGGGGGAAGGGATGAAGGAGGAAGATAAGCCTCTATTTTCTTCCAGAAGGAGGAAGAGCATGAGCTTCAGGTGTTTTAAGGTTTAATCCAGTCACTATTGGAACAGAAGAAGCTCCCCTACACAGACAGAATTAACAAGTTTAACAATCTGATTTATAAAAAGACCAACCAAAGTATATACTTGAAAATGGTTAAATCTGAAACTAATATGTCAATTATACCTCAATAAAAACAAAGTTGGCAATTGTCTGGCATAGAGAATGGAAAGATGTTCAACTCAAGGGCTGAAATGATATTTCAATAGTTGTTTTAGTTCTTGAAAAAGAAAAAGCAAAATTTGTTACCCCCCAAAAAAGGAATAGCGATAGTCCAAAAAAAAAAGAAAAGAAAAAAAGCAGACTGAGGAAGCGCAAGGTGTTATCAGCATATTTCTTCTAACAGAAAGAGGGAAGAGCTGAGAGAAATGGGGTGGGGGGCTGCCACTGCCACCACAGGCACAGGATTCAAAATCACAATAGCTTTCTGAAAAAAATGGGAGGGGAAAAATGGCTTAGGTGATAGAGGCTTTGTTCATCCCTCTTGTGACAAAATCAAAGTTGTGATACAAACACAGAGTAAACAGCAAGGAAAATTGCCTGGGATCTAGATGAACAGAAGCACAACTAGGGAGAGAAATAATCAACCTGCAACAGTAGGAAGTAGATGAGGGTGAAGATGTGAGGCTGCTCAGCGGGAGAGGATGAGTGAGACAGAAGCTGTGGCAGCTGTAGCTGGCAGCTGCAGACACCTCTTAAAGGGGCCGTGTCCATGACTGGACTTTTGCAGTGACAGACCTCATTCTGAGCACCAGTGCTGAGCTGGCTGCACAGGGGTGAGACACCAGGGACTTACAGGGGGACACTGAGTTGTCAGAGTGAGGGCCGGAGACGAGGCTCTCTCCAGGCAGAAGTGCCGGCAGTATCCACTGTTCCTATGTTGAGCCCTCCCCACCTCCCAGTGTATGAACACAGCCCAACCATAGCTGAGACATCATCAAACTGAATAACAGAGATCGCTACCCCCAGAGGATTCCCTGAAACTCCGCCTCCTCCAACTCACGGCCCCACCCAAGCCACATCTAGTTGTGTCCTCGGTGACTCCGGTGCTCCTTGCTGAGCAGCGCCAAGACTCACACTTGGTGGCAGCTGGCCTCGGTTTCTGGTGTGGTTTCTTGAGGCAAGTAAAAGCATAGCAACTATGGATTGCCTGCTGAATCTTAACAGGTGGCCCTGGAAGGGCACATGCTGGGGCTAAACCTAGCCTGCAGCTGAACCCCTCTCAGGACTGTGCCACTGGACACCTACTTCATAAAGCTGCGCTAATAAGACTGGGAGACTTAGGAGCATTGCTTAGTACATAGAAACAGACACAGAAAGGTTATAAAGATGAACTTAGGGGAAGTGTAGATGAATTCAATGAGAACTTTGACAAAGAGATAAAAAACATAAAAACGGAAATAGAAATTATAAAAGGAAACCAGTCAGAAATGAAAAACACATGATCTGAGATGAAGAGTATATCAAAGGGAATAAACAACCATAAAGAAGAGGATCGAACCACTTAGATATAGAGGAAGGGGAAGCCAAGGACACTCAATCAGAACAGCAAGAGAAAAGAAGCCAAGACTATAATAATAATTTAAGGAGCCTATGAGACACAATTAAATGTAAAAATCTCCATGTCATAGGGGTACCTGAAGGAAAAGAAGTTGAAGGGCTATTTGAAGAAATAATGTTGGAAAACTTCCCTAACTTGGTGAAGGAAATAGACATACAACCCCAGGAAGCTCAGAGAGTCCCAAAAAAGATGAACCCAAAGAGGCCCACAACAAGACACATTATAATTAAAATGCCAAAGCTTAAAGACAAAGAGAGAATCTTAAAAGCAGCAAGAGGAAAGCAGCTAGTTATCTACAGGGGAGTACCCATAAGACTGGCAGTTGATTTCTCAAAAGAAACTATGCAGGACAGAAAGGCTTGGCACAAAATATTCGATGTGATGAAAACTCAAGATCTACAACCAAGAATACTTTATCCAGCAAAACTATCATTTAGAGTTGAAGGACAGATAAAGAGCTTCCCAGACAAAAATAAGCTAAGAAAGTTTTTCAACACCAAGCCAGTATTACAGGAAATGTTGGGGGACTTCTTTAAGAGAAAAAATATGTATCAAAACAAGAATAAAGAATGGAAAAAATTACATTCCTACCAACAAGTACCTCAAACAGAAAAGAATTAAGTGCTCCAACCAAAAGATAGAGAGGCTGAATGAATAAGAAAACAAGACCCCTACATATGCTGCCTACAAGAGGCTCACTCAGATTTAAACTCAGCTTAAAAGACACACAGAGACTAAAAGGAAGGGGATGGAAAAAGACATTGCTTTGATGGACCTAGAGGGTATTGCGCTGAATGAAGTAAGTCAGATAAAGACAAATATTGCATGATTTCACATACAAGTAGACTCTAAAGAATAAACAACAACTAAAATGGAAATAAACTCATAGATACAGAGAATATTTTGAGGGCTACTAGATGGTTTAACTTGTTCTGAGGCTTAAAAAGGAAAACTGGAGAGAGCAGACATTACATGGGATATTTTCTCTTCAAAGCCCTGAATAACTTAAGCATTACTGGTTTTAGAAGGGAGAGGGGAGGATGGCGAAAAAGGGCAAAGGGATTAAGTACCAATGGATAGTGACAAAATAGACATGGAGATATAAAGTGTAGCATAAGGAAAGTAGTTAATAATGGAATAAATATGTAAGGGGGAAGAAGAGTACTAGATTTAGTAGAGTAATCACTTTGTGAGTTACATAGATCTCTAATCACTATGCTGAACAACTAACTGAAACTAATATATTATTGTATGCCAATTATAATTGAAAAAAAGTCATTGAATTGTACAACGTAAATATGAGCAACTCTTTATATTTATATTTCAATAAAGCCAGGGGGAAAAAAAGAGTAAAAAAAAAAATAATAGCTTTGTGACATTTAATGTGGGAACAGAGGACGACACATCCCACAGTGTGAAAACTTACTATGCGCTGGGCATTGTCTGCTGCAGTTTAGCCAGAGCCTGCCCATTATGAACCCAAAATGTATTTGAAATCTCTTGCATAAGCTTAAAAATTTATTCACATTTTCCATTTTACTAACATGTTCTGTGACTGAGTGTACAAGTGTCTTATCTCTAAACCTGGGAGAAAAATGGACCTGTAGGAAGAGGTAGGTCATGCTGGGGTTTCGGGCTGCCAGGCATAGTGCAGCGGCCCCAGAAGGCATAACTCCCTGGGTCAGGCTGACTCGAATGGCCATATTGTTTCACGAACCAAGTTGATGCTCATGAGGATGGGTTGTAAAGGAAAGGTGGTTTTTTGGCTTCAGAAGTTGGAGATATGAATCCCATCATTTTATAAAGATTGGTTTTTGTTCTATTTAAATTGTTTTGTTCTATTTAAGTGGTTTAACTTGTTCTGAGGCTTAAAAAGGAAAACTGGAGAGAGCAGACATTACATGGGATATTTTATCTTCAAAGCCCTGAATAACTTAAGCATTATTGGTTTTAGAAAACATACACATACATGAATGGGGGGATCCCAGTGAGGTTGACAACACAGGGTACTCTTTGACAGGTGGCTTAGGTGAAACAGAAGGAACAACTCCCTTCACCCCAGAGACCAGTGGTCACTTTGCCTCCTGATCTGAAGCTCTGGCTTGAACCCTCACCTCATTGTGTCGTTGAGTCCCTTCTGCATGGAAAAGACCTCCTGCTTATTGGCAGCAGGGGAGGCCTGAAACAGCTGGCAGACTATCTCGTTGGAAGCTTTCACTTCTAATCCAAGTTGGTTTCCATTTGCACAGGCTTTGGCTAAAGACACCTGAGAAGGAAAGGCACGGAGAATGAGGACGAAGCAGTGGCTTTTGAGGTTTTATCTCCGAATGTGAAAGGCTGTTGAGGGAGAGGACGTGTATATACATTTGGCCTCCTTAGGCCTTGTAAGCCTTCTGGAACCAGCATGACTAAGATTTTAATTATTCTTTTTGAAATAAGTAATATTATTCCATGATAAAGAATTTTAAAAAGGACTAAAGGTGTATAATGGAATGTCAGTCCCCTTCCTACCCTGGTATAGCTCCTCAGCCAATTTAAGTCTTCTGCCAACTTTTAAAAAAAATTTTGTTTCTGCTCATCCCCTAATTGTGAAAGCTAGACACTTCAGGGGTAAGCCTCATGGCAAAATGGCAAAGATCATGCTGGGGGCTCACAGGACTTGGCTTTAAAACCTGGGTATGTGACCACAGGCAAATTGGGGCAAGTGCTGTACCTCAGTTTCCCTTCTTATGAAGTGGCATACAGTATCTGCTTTGGCAGATGGATGTGAGGATTAACTGAGATGTGTCAAACACTTGGGACAAGAACCATCCAGCACCTACCCACAAAGCCCTCAGGTGGTTACTATCACTATTTCTAGTTCCTTTCAGATTTCTCTATGCATTTGTAGCAGTGTGTATATGCATTTGTGATCACAGTATATATACATCTTTTCTTTGCCCACCTAATAACGTAGTTCCTTAGGAGATGAATTATCTGTAAGCATGTTTCACCTATTTTTCCATTTCGGATGTTTCTGATGTTTTATTTCTGAGATATCTTTGTGCAGACTGTTTAGCACCTGCACCTGTCTGCTCACGTGGTCAGCACACAAGAATGGCTCTGCTAAGCCTTTTGCTACTTGTGTCCAAGTGCTTTCTGAAAGGCCAGACCTGATGTTCACGCCCACTAATAGGAAGACTATTTTATCACATCTTTACCAGCAAAAATGACTACTGTTAAAAGTGTGTATTTTCTGAAATAGGGATCCACTGAAAAACAGAGGACATACATATATGTAATTTGCTAATGTGACAGTTGAGATCACGTGCCCTTCCGACCAGCATTGAGCAGAATGCTGCTGCTCTGCGTTTGTGCCAGTTGTGTTTGTTTCTTCTAAGAGGGCACTGAGGCCCTGTAGACTTCTGTTACGGTCTTACTTTTCTTATATGATGAGTTTGAGCTTCCAATAGAATCACATTGTTATATGTCTTGTAAATTTGCTGACTGCCTTTTTGGACACAAACATTACAGTGTTCTGTGACTTGTCAGCCTGGGCCATGTACCACTTTGTGATTTTCTTTCTTAGCTTTTGAGAGTAGACAACTCTCAACCACTCTCTATCTGACTGGCTTTCTTTGATTTGTCTTGAAACCATGACTTTACAGATGTAAGGGGAGAGTGCCTTGAGAACACCAACAATCCCTGGTGTCCTGGTTCTGACACTGGTGAGCAGGTCGAACGAAGAGAAAAGGACAGCACTCTAGATGCCCATCTGCTCTAAGGAGCCTCGAGTTCTGCTGCTGAGATAAGCTTTACCTACAGGACAACTTTAGGGAACAGTATGAATTTTGATAGCAGACACAGTCCATAAGCACTTAGAAACTAAGAGGGTGAATGGCTTAGGGGCAATGGGCTTTGAGATGATGGGGCAGAGATAGGCAGAGATGAAAGAGGCACTCTGGGCTCTCCTCCCCACACACTCCAGAACTAAATTCCTTTAAAACCCGGCTCCAGCCCTGGGCCAATCTTACTGCCTCCTGAGTGGGAGCCCAAGAGGTGTAAGGACAAAGGCCAGCTCCCACTTTACCTGTGCTTCCCAGCAGCCTTTGGCAGCATAGTCCCTGAGTTTCCGGAAGTTGTAGAGGCATCGTCCAGGATCAGACATCTGTCAATGGGAGAAAGTCATCATGACTTTATATGGTTTTATCTCTGGAGAAGCTCAGAAATGACCCATGGGGTCCTTTATCCCCTCAAATGACAGTGGTCATTCTGGGGCAGTGCTGAAAACAGCCCACTAAGCAGTGGCTCTAAAGGGCTTAAGAGCTGTATGAGGATTCCCTTGTGCCGACAACTTCTTCAAGGGCCAATTTGGAGATTGTGTCTATGGACAACATAATTCCTCTCCTCCTCAGACCCAGGTCCACTTACATCTGTCTTTCTGTCACTTTCCCAGAGGAGGTACGAGCTGGTCAAACATCCCTGATTAGCAGATTCTTCAAACAGGTCATGGGCCTGCTTCTTTTTTTCTTCATCCTGGAATAAATCCAAGCAGTTTGTTCTTCTTTTTGTCTGTACTTTCTCCTAAATCATTCTAACCATCTTCGTCTTTTTTCCTACCCCTAAGTGAGTATACGCATTGATCTTTAATAAAATGAGTTAACTAAATTGGAGTAGAAATAACTTCTTTAAAGATATACAATTTGACACCCAATGTAGAAAGCAAACTCACAAGTTCTGCTCTCACAGGCCTGCTTTCTCTTGGACACTGTCTATGTTTGGCTTGACCCTGGGTCACCTTGAGGGCCAGCCCTCCACACTAAATCACTCCCAGTGATGTTAGAGGTTATCTTGGGGATCCTTTACCTCCTCCTTCCTGTTCAGTGCCCTCCCTGTTACTGTCAACACACACCTGTCACCAGAAGACACCACTTTTCCTGAGTCTGCTGCAGATGGGCTCCCTTAATCACAAAACTTGTTAAAGCTTTCTCAAATATACAGAGCTCTGTTTAAGGAGTGGGAGAGGCCGCCCAACAGCAGAGCAATGAAACAAATAAAGACTGTGGTGCAATGCATTTAGATGCTCTGCCCGGCTCCACATGGCCTCTCACGTCAGGGCTCACTTTGGCTTTGAACCTTGGATGCCCCCTTCTGCTGCCTTCACGTACTTCCTGGCCCTCAGTGTTTGCGGTTTCCAGAAAGGTAATCAGCACAGAAATGTGGAGCTACTATACTTCATGTGCTCAACCAGGCCAGGGGCATGTCAAACAACACAGAATCCAAGTGAAATGGATAACTCAACTCACCTCAAAGAGACTCATAACTCTCCCCAAGCAGTGCAGTATGGATGCTCTGTGAGTCTAAAATAGGAGAAAGATCTGTGATTATCAGTGGAGAAGCTGCCTTCCCAGTCTGTGTGTCCTGTGGCTCTTGACCACCCCTTTGTGCAGAGGACCAACTGCTTCACGGAGCTTCTGTCCTGCCTTCTCAGCTGTCAATGTGCCCACAGTCCAGCCCATTGTCTGATTCCCCTGACCACTGGCTCTGAGGCCTCCTCTCCTGACGGGTGGTTTCCAGACACTCCCACACCCACACTCTTAATTCTCTGCACCTCCACTGCCCTCAGATCCCTGACATTACGAGGTCCACGGCATCTTCCCTCAAGGTTTTCTCGCCTCCCAGGATCCTATGGGGCTAGGACTGCCCAGCTTGGCCTGCCTTACATGCACCCCTCACTAGGACTCACTCTTTGCAGCTGGCACTCCGCTCTGAGGCTCTCATGAACCACGGCCTTACAGCAGCTTCCGGACACCGACCATGGCGGGCGGATGAAGAGCCAGATGAAAGGGGCAGCATTGACATTCAGTCGCTCGGCGAGACTGAAGAAGCGAGAGGCCTTCAGGCCATTCACTTCTGCACGGGCTTCATCAGATACCGACACTGTGGAGGAGAAAAGAAAGTAAGCCAGAGACATCCCTAGAGGATAAATGTGAAAAGTTCTCCATGGTCTTTTGTGAAAGTCTAAAACCTTAAGCCTATTGGAGTGCAAAGCTGCTGATGTCTTAGGAAAGAAGAGCCCTCCAGACAGGGGCTCCTCTCTTTTCTTCCTCTATTTTGTGAATCGTGTGAGCCCACCAGGGTCTTCCCAGCAGCCTGGATTTTGAAGGTTGGGAAGGTATCCCCTCACACAGAGGTGTCTTTTGACCACCCTCCCTCCTGCTGGGAACTGCTACTGACCTCCCTTCTAACGGGTACATGCTTCTTTTTGAGTTAATGAGCATTTCCCAAATTAGGCAGTGGTGATAGCTGCACAACTTTGTGAATATACTAAAAACCGCAGTGTTGTATACTTTAGATGGGTGAGTTGTATGGTATGTGAATTCTATCTGGGAATCGCTGTCTGACGGGATGGTGGGGGTAGGACGGCTGCTCTCCTAAGCCTAGAAGAGGAATGCTCATCAGTCACAACAGTCTTGTCAACTCAGCAAGACACCAGATCTTTTAAAAGCAGAACAATGGTGGCTATACCCAAGTCTTTATGCCTTTTGGGAACTGGGACAAGATGGCCCGTAGGCTGGTTCCTTGGTGTGCTGAGCAGACAGGTGAGAATTGGGAGAAGGCCACATAGATCCTTGGGGAGAATCACCCTTCGGGGTGAAGAAATTCAGGCACCTGGCCAGCTTTGACCTGCCTATACCTGCCTCCTTCTTGGAGCCTTGGCTACCTGTGTTATTGAAACCCTATGCAATAAGGCTTGCTTTGACTGCTGCCCCAGTGTTCCAGAGAAGAACTGTGGCTGAGAGGAGCCACAGCCCAGGCATGGGCTGCAGTGTTAATCAGACAGAGGGCAGGCAGCTGGGGGAAGGCTGGCTGCCCGAGTAGCCCCCATTCTGAGTCTTTGCTCAGTCATTCTTTGCCAAATGAAATTAAAGTGTTTATTAAAATAAGAGGGGACTCCCCTAACCTATAAAATCAAAGTTCATCAATGGGTCCCTCAGCAGGGCACCTCTGGGCACAAGCTCCCTGGAGACAGTAAGGCAGACCACCAGACACAAGAGTGACTAAATTACAAACACTGGGAAGGGCTCTTGCTTGTTCTAAAACGTCAACATCAAGTGGAGCAAGGACTTACAGCCTTCATTGTAGAGGTAGGCGATGCCCAGCTTCACAGCAGCTTCAAAATTTCCCTTTTCAGCAGCCCTAGAGCATTAAAAACATAAAACATCACATGATTTTATTCCATAAAGGTTATGTTCCATCACAGCAATTGAAGCTAAAATACTTGTTTACTGAATGGAAAATTTTTTAGGTAATGCAGTCACATATCATTTACCTATGACATGCTACATGTATGAACCTTGAAAACATGCTAAGTGAAAAAAGCCAGTCACAAAAGGCCAAATTTATATGAGTCCTTATATGAAATGTCCAGAATGAGCAAATCCATAGAGACAGTAAGTGGATTTGTGGTTGCCTAGGGTTTGGGGGATTGCAGGTAAAATAGAAAGTGATTGCTACTGGGTATAGGGTTTCATTTTGGGGTAATGAGAATGTTCTAAAGTTAGACAGTGTTGATGGTTGCAAAACTGTGTAAACATATTAAAGACCATTGAGTTGTACATTTTAAATGGTTGAGTCGTATAGTTTGTGGATGACATCTCAGATGGCCTGCTTGGGCACTGGCACACTGGGGCTCATGGGCCTCAAGGCTGGGAAGGTGGGATTAGCCAATGAATGAAATACAATAGGATTTAAATCACATGATTTTGAACAAAATTGCTGCATTAAGTTTCCACACAAAAGTGACCTGTGTTTGAGTCATGTGGGATGGGTCAGAGCCCAACTGGGACCCTTCAGCACGGTTGTGACTAATAAGTCACACATATACTACTGGCATGGATGACTAAAGACTGTGCTTGAAGCCATGTGACCCAGTGGATGAGACTGATAGCCCTCAGTTGCTTCCGGCTGGGATAAGGTGTTGGTAGGGGCCACAACAAGAGGAAAATTGTTCTCAGGTCAGGTCTTAGAACACAGGCTGGCATATCAGGGAGGCCCGAAGACAACCAAGCTGTTCTCAGGGTGCAGCGATACCTTTCAAAGAGCTTCAGGTTCCTTGGAGAAGGCCACAGCTCCTGGAAGTTGGCACACGCCCATACACTGGCATGGTTGTCTACCAGGTACTTCAGCTGGGAGTGCACCTGCAGAACAATGGAAGCAAGGTGGGGAGGGGGATTATCAAGGGACTTCCCAGAAGCTCTGCTCCTAGAGCTTTTGAAGACAGGATGTAGATGGATAAAAGGTCTCCTATTCCCTTACCCAACCCAGTAGTAAAGATCCCAGTTTCTGTGTCTCAAAGCAATAGTTGCTTTGAATAGAGAAAAGAGTCCAGAAACAAGTTTCATTGCAGCTTTAAATGTGGGGACAGTGGTCCTGGATGGAGAAATAAGCACCTGGGCTGAGAAAGAGGAGATAACACCTCTGTAAGGGTTTATACCCACAAGGATCAGGGAAATCAACTCTACAGGAACAGGTAGGACAGAAATCTGTTTTGTGCTCCTCTAACTGGGACCTGGCTAGTGGGAGCACAGCTGGAGCTTGGAGGTCAACAAGGGCTCTTGGAAAAGACTGGCACATGTGACAGCAGCCTCAGGTAGGACCTGGAGCCCCTGCCCTTGGCGGGAGCCCTGACCAAAAATGAGCATTTTAAGGACTAATGTTCCCACTGCCATTGGAAACTCAGCACTCATGGATATTATGACCAAAATGGAGGTGGCTTTGGGAGTTGGAGAAGCGGGTTCTTGTTTTCCCACTAATTCACTATATGCCCTCAATTAAGTTACTCGAAGTGAGGCTGCAGTTCTGATATTTGTAAAATACCTCCCAGAGTCCCTTTCAGTGCTGAATGTTACATGGGATTTGTCTTCAAAAATATACTTTTATTCTTTTTAATACCAGTTTATTTCTTTAAAAATAAACTTTTAAAATTTATTTTTCAATTACAGTTGAGATACAATATTATATGTTTTAGTATATGTTATTTCTTAAGGGGTTTCACTTAAGAAATTTCACTGTCATAAAAGGGTACTTTCTGTTAAACATTACGATGAGTGTGCTACGTTTCAGCTTTCCTATACCTTGAGCATCTATTAACAATATCATCCTTGTTTCTCTGTCTACTTTTGTAGCCAAAGCTCTGTTCTGACATTTAAGAACACGAAGCTTTGATGTTATAAACAATGCTAAGGCTGACACTATTTTCATCTGACAACTTACAGCCCGAACAGCAAGGATGTCTCCGACAGAAAGCCATTTCAGGATATGAAAAAGCACATCTTCCGGGAGACTCAAGATGGTTAGGTTTCGCGGCCTCCTTCTTATTCTTCGCTTTGTAGGATAACAGAAACACTTGGCACATCTACAGTGGATCACTTAAGAAAAAAAATCAGAATGGTCCAAATGATGTGTTGGAAAGGAGTTCTACTGATGTGAAAAATTATATCTGAATATGATTTTCTAGTTACTGTCCCCTGCCCCACAAAAGGAACCAGCCATATTTCTAGTTCCCAACAAAGATTGAATAAAGGAGTAATATTATAAGGATTACAGATAACATCATCATTCATTCAAATATTCAGTATTTATGGTGACTGGCAAAGAACCATATAACTTGGCTATTGGGAAACTTCCTGATCTAGAGCCCAGATGACAATAAGATAAGGGAAAAAGTAGCCAATGCTGATGAGGTTCTCCTGGCATTTCACGCTCAATTAATCCCCCTGGGACCCTTGCTGATTTCTTTGCTTCCATGTGAACACATTACAAAAATGCATAATGTTCAATAAGGATCTGTGGGCTTGAACAATCTGGTTTTTTGAGTCCAAACTCAAAAAGGAGGGTTAGCCCAACAGGGAAGCAAAGGCTGAACTTCAAGGCCAGGCCGGTCCCAACTCTGCGGATGTCCGGAGCTGCCCAGTGTTCTCTCTCTCCATAGCGGGGTTCCTTTCAACTCTAGCAGCTCCTTCTTCATTCTACGCAGACAATCTAGAAGCTCCAGGGCAGAAGCCCCTCACCTCCATTTT